TTCTGCATTTAGGATAGGGTCTACAGGGTTTTACTATGTAGATCAGACTCATAGTGATTCTCCTGTTTTCAGCCTCCCAAGTGCTGGGATTACAGGCGTGCACCACCACGCCCAGTCTTAATTACCGTCTCAGTGCGCTCAGGGGGCGGGGCTAGCACAGCATGCCTGGGGATTGAACGAGGTTGCTGGGCTCAGCCTAAGCAGGTGCTTTAGTCTACTGAGCTGTCAGGCTGGCCCTGGAATATATATTAGGAGCACTATGCACAGTATAATTCCACTTTGATTCAAGCAAATATAAAATTTGCATCTATGTACATGTAAAGAATATTTCTTTTAGATATAATCTGTGTGGTCCTGGGAATTGAACTGAGAGTCTTTCCACTGAGATATCTTCATAGTCCTTTTTATTTTTTATTTTGAGGCAAGATCTCTTAAGGCCACTAAATTGCCCTTGTTTGGCTCAATCTTGATATATATAGATAGATAGATAGATAGATAGATAGATAGATAGAGACAGAGAGACAGAGAGAGAGGAGAGATTTATTGTACTGGTTTTATGTTAATTACAAAGGCTAATATTTTATAGTAAAACACTGCTGAAATGTTTTTGAAAGGAACAAAGAAAAAGGGCCCCAGCCATCTGAGCTAAATAAGGAGGGCACAGAAGGAAGAGGCTGCACGGCTGATCTGGACCACATTCCCATGCCAGAGGGTGCTCAGGGGTGGCCTGCCGAGGGAAGCCAGCTCAGTGGCTGCTTCTCTCCCTAGGCCACCATGTTGGGGTGAGGCCTCCAGGTCCTCGCTGACTTCTCGGTCAGTCATTCTGTCCATGGTATAGAGTTTCTGTCCTCCTTGGGTTTCCCAGAGACAACATTTTAGTAGCAACAGTGGCCTGTGTTCAAATTCTATTTCCTCAGCTAACTGTAGGGCCAAGTTTCAGACTTCTCCCTGTGTTGCAGGTGTAATGTTGGGGCCGCCACAGATCATGGACCCCATTGGGTACGCAAAGCACCGTGACAGCGATTTCTGGCTAAGCCTGAGGCTCAGGGGAAAGCAGGAAGTTGGCTGCAAGCCCCAGTCCCCGGGCTGCAGAGCTGGGCTCTCCCTGCTACCTTCTCCCCAGCTTCTACTCCTGCCAAGCATCTCTGTTGAGCTATCGTCTTGTGTTTTCATTCTCCTTATCTCATATTCCTCATTTCAGACTCCATGGCCAGTTAGGAATATATATCACATATCTAAAAGATAGAATTCAGTATTGCCATTCAAACAGTATAGATTACTGACATGCGAAATAATATATATATATATATATATATATATATATATATATATATATATACATATATACATATATAATTTAATATAAAACAGCACCAGGGATGCAAGGCCTCAGCATGCTCAGAGGCGCTAGAAGCCTGGTACTAAGGAGGGAGAAGCTGGAGGGCAATTTCTGGGCTTCTCCTAAATACCTCTGTCCCCCGGCAGCATCATGGCACGCAGAGGAAGAGCCAGAGACATGGAAGGGGGCTGCTCTGACCAATGATACGCAGCAGACTAGATGGGGCTCGGGCCCAGGCATCCTTTTTCCAGAGCAGTAGTCCCCATGCCTCTGCTTTGGGTGGACTCTTGCCAGTCTTGTCTACTTCCCCACTACACTAAGTACATCCTTCTGCCCCTAGGACTGGCTTTGTAGTGATCATCATTTGCTTGGGTCCCAAAGAATGTATGTGACACTAACACAGGGTCTCACATGTGGCAGCTGTTCAGTAAGTACTGATGGAAAAAAGCCCTAAGATAGAAGGAGTCCTGGGGTTTTAAGTCTAGTATCCTGAGCATAATCTTCTCGCTGTTCTTCATATAGGTCAGAGGCAGCCAGGGGCAGACGCATGACCCTCACAGAGCTAGAATCCCCCTCTTGCAAATCAAGAGCTTCAGATGCAGCATAGCTCCCTGACCTTTCATAGACACTTTATACCAAATGTCTGCAGACTTAGCTGAGCAGCAGTGTAGGTCACACTGAGCACATGGGACTGAGGCAGAAGAGGTTGATCTGTTTCTGTGACCCCATTTCTGTGTGCTGAGCACTACACACTGGCCCCTGTGGGGTGCAGCCTAAGGAGCAGCCAGTGCCCTTCCCAGCTCTGTCCCTGGCCAAGCAACTTTCCTGCCCCAGGATGACAGCAAAGCCTTGGCAAGGGCAGTGCTGGTGCTCCCAGGTACCTCTTGTATGCTAACTTCCAAGTTTCTCAGCTGCCATCTGGCCATTTCTGGAGTGACCTTGGCACTGTCACCACCTCTAGGCTCTTGGCCTGGTTCTTCCCAGCCTTCTCCCTGTGCATTACCAGTTTCTGTGTTCTGACCAACTCCCTCCAACCTTTTTTTTGTTTTCGTTTTTGTTTTTCATTATAGTCCCCTAAGGAGCTTTGTCAGATAGCCCCTCCCTCACCAACTTGCCTACTGCCAAAAATCCCCAACAAGTGGAAGCAAAGCAAGCACACTGTGCTCCCTGCTGCATCTCCTGTGAGGGCCATGGGCTGTGACAACTTCTCGGCTAATTCTCCTTTAACAGCCGGCTGGGCCCTGGGCCCTGGGCCC